TCGTATATCTTTTGCTGCTGCTGCAGCAGCAGCCGCTGCTACTGCTGCAGTAAAATGAATCCTCTTAACACTTTTCGAGTGTAGTGACACCTCAAATTCCAAGCTGGGAAGCGTCTAGGGTTTAGGGTTTAGGGTTTAGAGTTTAGAGGCCCCAGGGGGCTTCGGATCTCTCTGCTAGCGACTACTGCAAAAATAAAAAAATAAAATAAAAGTATAAAATGAGTTTATATTTTCTCTTTTGTTTGCTCTGCGTTCAAATATAGTATACATAATATATACATTATTCATCTGTATATATATATATATATATTAAATATATGTAATGTATATATTCTATCTATCTGTATACATATATATATATATACAAATTTATGCATTTGTATTTAAATATATTTATATTTATATTTATATTTATTTATTTTTATATAAATGCAAAAGAAAGCCACACGACCCGTGTAGATTCGTCTCCTGCACATCCGCAGCTACTAGTAGGGCTGCTGCTGCTGCTGTTGCTGCTGCCGTTGCTGCTGCTGCAGTTGCAGTTGCTGTTGCATTTGCTGCTGCTGCTGCTGCTGCTGCTGCTGCAGAGGCGCTCGTTTGCAGAATCATTTGCTGTTATACTACTGCTGTCGGTACTGGAACATGAGTTGCTGCTGCTGCTTCTGCTGCAGTAGCTGTTTCTGCTGCAGCTGCAGCTGTTGCTGGAGTAGCTGCTGCTGCTGCTGCTGCTTGTCTGCCTGGAAGACAGCAGCAACAAGGCGGTGCAGCAAGAGGGCCCCTGATGCTTCTTGCTGCCGAATGCATGCACAGATGGTGGTGCATATAGGAATATTTGCTGCTATTAGACATTTTTTAAATGTTTCTGTAGACAGAGACTGCGAAATAAAAAGAGAGCAGAGACGCAGCAGCTGCTGACGACGTTCCATCTCAGCCCCATCCCCCGTTGCTGCTGCTGCTGCTGCTGCTGCTCCTTCTGCTGCTGCTTCTGCTGCTGCTTCGGATGTGTCAGCAGCAGCAGCAGCAGCACCAGCAGCAGCAGCAGCAGCAGGGTACCTCCAGGAAATAATATCTCTTTGAGGCTCAGCAAAGCTAATTCTTTGTTCTGCAATTTGTTTAGTAGCAGCATTAATAATATCTGCATGCGTTTGATCGTTATGTTTGTTAGTTAAAGAACAAACAAACTCTGAAAACTTTAATCTTCCTGCTGCTGCTTTCCTAGAAAATAACGTCCTCCACTCTTCATTTAAATTAAACCCTGCTGCTGCAAGCAGACTCTCTAATTGATGCTGTCTTATCTCTCCTCGTTCCCAGCGAGCAAATAAACTCTGCAGCAAATAAGGAGATGCTGCAGCCTTCCTGCTGCTGCTGCTGCTGGTGGTGTGAAGGGGATGCTGCTGCTGTTGCTGCGGGTATTCCAGGGCGTCGAACTTGGTGCTGCAGCCTGCTGCTGTATTTGCTGCTGCTGCTGCAGCAGCAGCAGCAGCAGCAGCAGCAAAAGCTTGCTGAGCTTCAGGATCAGGCGGGCATATAAAGGACTGCGTAACAGAGTCTAGCTTCCGTTTAGCATATCTGTCTGTAAGCAGCAGCAGCTCTTTAAAGAGCAGCAAACCCTCTTGCATAATGCTGCAGCAACGAAGGATTAAATCTGCTTCAGGGCTATTATAATCAATACCCATATGCTGTAGACAGAGAGAAAAGCTAGAAAAAGTTATAATGCCGCTGTATGCAGCAGCACTGCTGCAGTGATGCTGCAGCTCTCGAGCTACATACATCAGAAACTTAGGATTAGATACTGAAAACATCTTCTTACGAAGAGAAGGAGGAAAAGAAGCAGCACAACGAGGAGAATATACAACGCTGCTGCTGCTGCTGCTGCTGCTGCTGCTGTCTCTGTTTATATCCATCTTCTTTTAAAGGGTAGAGAAAATCTTGTATTGAAGAAAATATTTCATGCAAACAAACAAATGCATGTACATATATATATATATATATATATGTAATAAATAAATATATACAATATATATATTTATATATATATATGTAATAAATAAATATATATAATATATTTAATTATTTTTATTTAATTGTTTATTTATTTAAAGATATAAACAGCAAACAAAGAAAAGACAGAAAGCGGTAGCCGTCTGCTTTATTACAAACAACACAAACACTAAAACTGTTCTGCGTCCAATAAATAAATAAATAAATAAATAAATAAATAAATAAATAGGTAGATAAATAAATAAATAAATAAATAAATAAATGAGTTAAACAAGTAAAGAAATAGAGCAGCTATTGATGTAAAAGTTTAAAGGAGGAGGAAGCAGCAAATTTGTCGTTCTCTCTCTTTATCCATCTCTCAATTAATTTAACATATATTATATATAATATACAAAGTAATATAATATATATAATATATATTATATATATAATTATATATACTATTGCTATTATATTGATATAGTCGTATAGACACACTTATGAAAACAGCGCGGTGTATGCGGAGAAGATCCTTGTCTACTTTTATATTACTCCTCAATTTGTTTTTGCTGCTTCCCCATGCTGCTGCTGCTGCTGCTGCTGCTGCTGCTGCTACTGCAGCAGCGGGAGGAGGAAAGCGAGGTGTTGATACACCCGGTTCGGCTCGCTGCTGCTGCTGTTGCTGCTCCCCCTCTTGCTGCTGCTCCTGTCCTTCTGATCTTGTTCCAATTCTGTTGCTGCTGCGGCTGCTGCTGCAGCTGTTACTGCTGCTGCTGTTACTGTTACTGCTGCTGCTGCTGCTGCTGCTGCTGCTGCTGCTGCTGCTGCTTCGAGGCCCACAGGAGAAGGGCTCGGCTTTCCTTTAAACGGAAGAGTAAAAATTAAACATCTGCCAATATTAAATGCAAACAATTTAATTTTAATGTGCTGCAGCAGCAGCAGCTGCTGCTGCAGCTGCTGCTGCTGCTGTTGCTGCTGCTGCAGCAGCAGCAGCAGCAGCAGCAGCTGCAGCCGACGGCGAGCTGCAGCGGCCTCCCGTGTATGTACACTCGAAGCTCTCCCCCCCGCTCTTTGTTGTTTTCTTTGCCCTTTTTATGTTTATTTCTTTTTATACTAATCCAAAATAAACTCCTTTCTAAACATTAACAGCACAAACCTTCAGCTGTAGCCCCCTGCTGCAGCAGACTGCTCGCTGCAGCGAGACCACTGGGCACGCCGACCGGTCGAGGGTTTAGGGTTTAGGGCTTAGGGTTTAGGGTTTGGGGTTTGGGATTAAAGCTGCGAATGAAGAATTGTCTTTGTCTTCAATACGAAGGCAGACACTGCAGGGGTACAACCCCTCACGCCTACTCGCAGCAGCAGTAGCAGCAAGAGCCGCAGCAGCAGCAGCAGCAGCAGCTGCTGCTGCTGCTGCGGCTCTTGCTGCAGCACAAATCGCTGCAGCAACATTTCAGTCAGATTCCACTTCTCACTTCCTTCTAAACACCCCACAACCTTTTGCATTCATCAGAAGCAGCAGCAGGAGCACGAGCAGCAGCAGCAGCAGCAGCAGAAGACTGCAGCAGCAAATGCCTCACTAGCTTCGTTCTGGGTACGAAAATGTCTGTACCCCCACATGCAGCTCTTGCGAGGGCCCCCTCCCAGGGGCCCCCTTCTGAAGGGGGCCCCCTAATGATGGGGGCCCCCCCTAAAAGACCTTCGACAACACCAGGGGCCCCCCAGCACTCTTATAATCATCTCTCCGGCAAAACAACCGAACAGGGCCCCCATCCACTCCCTCTTGGAGCCTCATCCCTTTGGGGGCCCCCTGGGGGCCCCCCTCCTAATGGGGGCCCCCCTTCTGATGGGGCCCCCCCACCTGATGGGGGCCCCCCTGCTAATGGGGGGCCCCCTGCTAATGGGGCCCCCCCCGCTGATGGGGGCCCCTCCGAAGGGGGCCCCCCCGCTGATGGGGGCCCCCGTACTAATGGGGGCCCCCCTTCTAATGGGGGCCCCCCTTCTAATGGGGGCCCCTCTTCTGATGGGGGCCCCCCTGATGAATTGCTGCAGAGCGAAAGTGAAGAAGAAGAAGACGAAGAAGAAGAAGAAGAGTTTATGTGGGGGTCTGAGGCAGCTTCTGTTTGCTGGGTTTCATTGATAGACAACTCGTATAAAAAAGAAACAGAGCTGCTGCTGCTGCTAGTATATCCGTTGCTGCTGCTGTTTAGCTTCGTGCAGCTAACGCTTGGCTTCATAGGGTGCTTCCGTTACTTGTCTCCTCCTGCTGCTGTTGCTGCTACTGCTGAAGGCGCCACAGCAGCAGCACCAGCAGCAACAGCAGCAGCAGCAGCAGAAGTTGCGCAGCTCTCGCTGCAGCACAACTTGTGGGCGGAGCCTCTCTATTGGGTTTGTCTCTGTTTATTTTTGCTGTCTCTTTCTTCTGTCTCTTCTGGATATTTATCTTTGATTAAACACCGCAGCATTCCTCTCTCCTTCGATAAATTTAAACTGCATAAGATATTTGATGGAAGTTTGCTGCTGCATGCAGTTGCTGCTGCTGCTGCTGCCTTCTCCTTTCTTAAGCTTCTTGTTGCTGCTCTTCCAAATGACTCTTCAACACGCATCAGCCACCAGCAGCAGCAGCAGCAGCAGCAGCAGCAGGAGCAGGAGAAACCTCAGGGGCTGCTGGAGCCCCAGCAGCATCAGCAGCAACAGATGAAGCGCCACTGGGAGAGTCAGCAGCAGAAGCAGCAGCAGCAGCAGCAGCAGCAGCCAACGACTGCTCCCGATGCAGACTCGGATGCAGCAGTAGCTGACGCCCCTTCAAGCCCTGATGCTGTTGCTGCTCCTGCTGCTGCTGCTGCTGCTGTAGCAGCACCGGAAGGCGCATCCACTCAGCTTATAACAGCAGCAGAAATGCATGGAGGTGCTGCTTCAGACTTAGACGAGACAGAAGCAGCAGCAGCAGCAGCTGCTGCTGCCGATGGTCCAGCAGAAGGTGTTCCTGCGCTGATCGAGCAGCAGCAGCAGCAGCAGCAGCAGCAGCGAATGCAGAAGTACGGAAGGCAGCAGTTTCTGCTGCGGCCTGAAGATTTTAATCATCATAATCATCAGCAGCAGCAGCAGCTGCTGTTGATGCTGCAGCACCACGACCGGCGTGCTGCTGCTATGCTTCAGGCTGTTAATTCTTCTTTTCCAGCAGAAGCACCAGCAGCAGCAGCAGGACCAGCAGCAGCAGCAGCAGCAGCAGCAGCAGCAGCAGTTGAACACACCTCTGCACTGTACAAACCTTTGCTGCTGTCTTCTCTTGCTCTTGAGGTGCCGCTGCTGCTGCTGCACTCTGCTGCATTTTTGCTGCTGTGGACCGTCGCCAAAAAAGTAGGCAAAATTTTCGGCATGCGAATGCCCAAACTCCCCTTCTAGGTCCTGCTGCTGCTGCTGCTGCTGCTGCTGCTGCTGCTGCAAC